AAGTTGCTGCTTTTGTGGAGGAAGTTACAGCGCCACGTACAGGTTCGGCATATGTACTGCAGCTTTTCCAGCGGTTGGATGTAAACGGAGCCGTCTCGTGGAGCTTGACACAATCCGGTGTATATTGCGTGGGCGGAAGCTTTTTTGCGTTTGCGTTTGCGTTACTCCGATGCGTTTTGCCGTATGCGTTCCCGTGGAGCCGGGGCCTCAGTTACAACCTGCTCTTCATTTGAAAAGAGCTTTTAGTTGTAAAATAAGTTGGTAAACTTACAAAATCTGAAGGAGGTTAAATACTTGTTTCCTCCACTGTAAATGTATAGCCTCAATGTCCTGAGATAGCTGATTGATTTAATAGTTGAATCATTCAACTATAAAATTGTAAAAAACGACTTACTGTAAGTACTAGTACTAGTAGTAGTAGTAGTAGTAGTAGTAGTAGTAGTAGTAGCAGTAGTAGTAGCAGTAGTAGTAGTTGTAGTAGTTGGAGTAGTAGTAGTAGTAGTAGTAGTAGTAGTAGTAGTAGTAGTAGTAGTAGTAGCAGTAGTGGTAGTTGTAGTAGTAGTAGTAGTAGTAGTAGTTGGAGTAGTAGTAGCAGTAGTAGTAGTAGTAGTAGTAGTAGTTGGAGTAGTAGCAGTAGTAGTAGTTGGAGTAGTAGTAGTAGTAGTAGTAGTAGTAGTAGTAGTAGTAGTAGTAGTAGTAGTAGCAGTAGTAGTAGTAGTTGTAGTAGTAGTAGTAGTAGTTGGAGTAGTAGCAGTAGTAGTAGTAGTAGTAGTAGTAGTAGTAGCAGTAGCGGTAGTTGGAGTAGTAGTAGTAGTAGTAGTAGTTGGAGTAGTAGTAGTAGTAGTAGTAGCAGTAGTAGTAGTAGTAGTAGTAGCAGTAGTAGTAGTAGCAGTAGTAGTAGTTGGAGTAGTAGTAGCAGTAGTAGTAGTAGTAGTAGTAGTAGTAGTAGTAGTAGTAGTTGGAGTAGTAGTAGTAGTAGTAGTAGTAGTTGGAGTAGTAGTAGTAGTAGTAGTAGTAGTAGTAGTAGTAGTAGCAGTAGTAGTAGTAGTAGTAGTTGGAGTAGTAGTAGTAGTAGTGGTAGTAGCAGTAGTAGTAGTAGTAGTAGTAGTAGTAGTAGTAGTAGTAGTAGCAGTAGTAGTAGTTGGAGTAGTAGTAGCAGTAGTAGTAGTAGTAGTAGTAGTAGTAGTTGGAGTAGTAGTAGTGGTAGTAGCAGTAGTAGTAGTAGTAGTTGGAGTAGTAGTAGTAGTAGTAGTAGAAGTAGTAGTATTGTGTGTGTGTGGGGGGGGGGGCTTTTATATAGAAACAAATCCTTATTCTGTTCATTCGTACTAAATATGAACCTGAAAACTAAACACGTCCTCTTTAATTGACACCAAAATGATGATTTGTGGTTGAAACCTTCTTTTAAATCTTTTCTTTTTACCCTCCAACAGATGTGTCTCAATGGAGAAGAAGAAACCTCAGATTCCTTAGAGTCCATTGAGGTGAGTTCCTCCGAGGAGACGTCCCCCGCTGTGTCCCCTTCCCAGGATCCCCCCCCACAGGACCCCATAACAGAGACACCCCTACCTAACGTGATCCAGGAGACTGAACCTCCTTCCTCACTCCCTTCCTCACCTCCTCCCCTCCTCATCTCCTTCCCTCCTCTCCTCTCAGAAGACCCTCAGACCTCCACAGACCCCCTCCCTCTCCTCCCTGAAGACCCAGCAAACATACCTCTGTTTGTGGACGTTTCTCCGAGCGCTGACCTCCTGAACGTCCTTCCACATGTGGACGCCTCTGCCTCCCCCCCTCCAGAGTTTCCTCACCCTTTCTCCACGGCAGCCCCCACCCTAAAGGTCCCTCTAAGCACCGCTCTCACCGGGGTCCCTGTTTGCGTCACGTTCCAGTTCTACACGCCGAACCAGAATCAGAACCCAGAGGAGACAGCAAGTGATCCGAGGCAAAGTGAAGTGTTTTGGCCATGCTGCTTTCTGACAGAGGATCTGTGAGGGTCTGAACGAAATCTGATTTTCAGGGTTCGAGTTATAATCTGAGCTTTATGGGGGTGTGTAAAACTAACGTTAGGGGCGGAGATAAATATATCAATAACAGCCAGGTAATAACGTAAATAACGGGTGATATTTACAAGAGAGAGAGAGAGAATAAATAAAATAATTGTTGTTGGTAATGCATTAGCGACCCCCACAGATGTATGATTTCAGTGCTTTCATAGCTCATACCCTCCTTAAGAGAGCTCAGCTCCCATTGGCTCCCACATAACTCAAACTCTGCTGATTTTAAACAAAATACATCTTTACAGTCTGGTTATTACTGTATGTACTTTATAACTCTTTGTTTATTATCGTCTTTATTTTCTATTTCACTGTATTATTACATTACATTTCATGTAGCTGACGCTTTTTTTTTTATCCAAAGCGACTTACAATGACCAATTACAGGGACATTCTCCCTGGAGTAACGGACCGTCCACACAGCAGCGTTAAAAAATCTTGAAACGCTTCTGCCCATTCACTTTGAATGGGGTGACGTCACTTTGCCTCACTTTTCGCCGAACTGCATTGTGGGCAGGCGAGCGGAGATTTTCAGGATTTTCAGGATTCAAAGTTGAGCAATGTTCAACTTTTGAGGCTGAGGTGGAAGCGTCAGCCAATCAAATCCCGTGTACGCAAATCTGACAGTTCAAGCGCTAGCCAATCAAACCGCGTGTATGCTGGGAGAGACATACCGCTGGTCATTTCCTCATATTCCAAAAAATGGAGGAGAAATTAGCGGTAGGGAATCACCCGGTGCTTTATGACCAGTCCCTATTTTACCTACCGGGATATAAACCGGAGGAGCCAGGCATGGAGGGAGGTGGCAGAGACAGTGGTATGTTTTCGCCTGTTTGGGGAGTTTATATCCAGTTTACTTCGGGCTTTTTTGCTTCGTATGTCGCGGGCGGGAGATTCATGTGATTGGTTGTTGGTGCCTTGCTCGCAAAAAATCCTCAAGCTTCAGATACGCCCACCTCCAAGATTTTTTTAACGCTGCTGTGTGGACGGGCCGTAACTAAGGACTAAGTGCCTTACTCAAGGGCACACTAGTGGAGGTGTTCCTGGCGGGATTTGAACTCACAACCTTCCGATCTTCTCACTATCCATTAGACCACCACTATCCCCTATATTAAAACACTTAACTGTTTTTAATCTATTTTATTTTCACATTTTTATCAATTGCTTGTGAAACTCTTTGATGTGTATTTGAGTAGCTCTAAAAGGTGGTAATTGGTCATCTTTCATCATTATCTTCTTCATTTTATCGTTTACTTTATTTGACTGTATTTAGACTTTACTTACTTTATTCTACCTATTTCTATTTTTAGGATTTCACCATTTTAACATCCGATTTTCTTGTCAAGCATCATTTTGATTTCACTCTATTTTAACAACACTTTAAAGTAGTTTATTAAGACTTTTATTTGTTTTATTTTCAACATTTTACCACTTTTTAACATCCTCATGTTTGTCAATTGGTCGTCAAACACATTACTAAAGTTTTTCTCTATATCATAATTTTTATTTTCTATTTCCCTAAATTTGTTATTGATCATTTTGACTTGATTTATTTCATTTTTCAACTTTTTACTACTTTTAACACCCTAATTTTTGTTGTTTGTCAAACACAAGTCTAAATATCCGACTACACTTTCATCACATTTCCTAAAATCTGTGTTTTATTCGTTTCAATGGTGCTAATGATGGAGCTATATGAGCATCTGAAAATGTAATCTAGTTAAATGTCATTATCTTTTTCAATAAATCTGTCCGAGGACAACACAGTAGTAAAACCAGATCTTCGTAAAATTATGTATTTTATTGGGTGTTTATTTGGTGTTTGTTCAGTACTAAAAGGTCCAAGTCCCACAATTGAATTGAATATTCATTTGACATGTTAACTACATCATAAAGCGCTTCATGGGAGTAATTGCAGGATGATTCAATTTTTTCCTTATGCAACATGAAAGTATCACGATATGTATCGGTTGAGTATCGGTATCGTTCAATGGTATCGGTATCGTAATAAAGTCAACGATATGCAACCCTAGATCTGACCAATAAAGTATTATAGTATCGTACCGTGGCAGCACAAGTAGCATAGCAGGTAAAAAAGGCATGCAATAATAAAGGGTAAGCTAACTTAGTAAATAAAGAAAGGAATTAGGAGGGGTTACCTTGGTTGGTGATTGGCTAATGGTTACTCAAGCCAAAAAATCGTTATGACATCATAAAGTGGCCAAAATCTGATCAGCTCATTTTCAGACAGGTTTTTATATAAATGGATCAGGACAAAAAGTGAGAGAATCTTTTTTCCTGAAACTTTCAGAATCTCTTTACACAGAGGGGACACATGTTGATGTAGAAGAGACATGAAGAAGATGGGACACATGTTGATGTAGAAGAGACATGAAGAAGATGGGACACATGTTGATGTAGAAGAGACATGAACAAGTGGATTTAGCATAATAGATCCCCTTTAAAATAAGATAAACGTGTATATATATACATATATATATATATATATCCGGCTTTCATTCCTGAGAAGGCAACGGGACATTTTGAGGACAGAAAGATATATTTTGGAAGCACATACATTTTAGTTGGAAGGAGAAAACCATGAGAAAAAACATCATTTTTCTTTATTCAATAAATACATGTGCAATGCTTCCATGAGAAGACAAAAGAAGATATCTATTATTATTATTGCACATTAATTACAGCTCAAATATATCGACATTCACGCAAACAATGTACAATGTGATTTTGGAAATATAGCTGACTTATTTTAACTGGAGTGTAATTTACTTAATTGTATTTCAGTCAGACAACTCCCGTGTTTCTATGATATGTTTATTAGAAGCAGCGTATAGTTTGAGGTTTAGGAGAATGCGATTGGTCAGTTGTAAGAGGGACGAGACACGTTTAATCCTAAAAAAAGGAAGAACAATTTACAAGACTCACCCTGTTCTGACCATGTCATCGAAGCAGGTTCTGCAGAGAAGGTAAACAAAGACAATAATTATTACATTTATGTCACAACACATTTTGAACAAATACATAAATATGATATCATCATTACAACAGCTTCAGGTGCCAGTCCCACATTCAAGGATTTATCTTGCAGTATAACAGGAATTAGGACATATTGAAACATGTGCATTATTCCCTCCCCATACACTGAGATACTTGTGTTTAGAGAATAATGAGTCCTACTTGTGTAGAAGATGGCCGCACGGAAGAACGTGAGCTCCAATTCTGGACGTGTGAATATCCTGTAAATAGAAAAAAAATAAATGATATCAGGATAGTAGAGAAAGTAATGGATTGCGTAACTTGTCATACTGCAACATAATGCTTTATTACCTCCATACACACGGGGCAGTTCCGCCTGGAGACATTTTCAACACACTGAAACAGAAAAGATGATTGTGACTGACAGCAGTGAGGATATAGAATGTATTGTCTGTGTGTGTGTGTGTGTGTGTGTGTGTGTGTGTGTGTGTGTGTGTGTGCATGTGTGTGTGTGTGTGTGTGTGTGCATGTGTGTGTGTGTGTGTGTGTGTGTGTGTGTGTGTGTGTGTGTGTGTGTGTGTGTGTGTGTGTGTGTGTGTGTGTGTGACCGTGTTCATTTAACACTTAAAGAGTGAATTTTAACACTGAGCCAGTGAACAAATGGTCCTTATCTCAGAGTGTTAAATTAACACTCCAGATTTGACTGTGTACATAAAGCAAACAAACTAAATGATAAACCTGTCTAACACCTTATCTGTGTCTCAGGATGGCCTTATAAGGTGGTAAGAGCAATAGAGGCGAAAGAGGAAGTGCATCTTTGCCAGCAGTGCGGAGGTAGTTATGAGAAGAATGTACTGGAATAGCATGCAGCATTAATGAACTGTCACGTAGCAGTGTTCGAACAGACCTTAGTCATGGGTTTGTTATAAAAAATATACACTCAGGCCCATTCAACATCCACTGCACGTGCCTACTTCCCGGTGTGGTGTGGTTTGCCATAGTTCCTGGTTTTCCCGTCTGATTTACATTTTCTTCGTGAGCCCTTCCTGTTCTACTACCGTTGTTCTCAGCTCTTCCGGGTCGTTATATTTCACCTCTTCTGAGCCCCTAAGTTTCATGTTTTTGTACTAGCTTTTTTTCTATTAAAGCTCACTTTTTGTTATTTACACAAACTATGAGACAAAAGGACATGATAAGATAAATACATTTTTACTGCTGACCTGGAGTCATATTGTTACTCGATGTTATCGTTGCAGGTGAATAAAACTCTCACTTTTTCCAGCTCATATTAAAAGAAGAGGGAAGTATTACAGAGATTATTCAGACATCAGAGGATGATGCTTTCTTCTGTTTTCTTACTCACCGCGTTGGGTTGTGGCCAATGGCTCTCAACCAAATGTCATCACACACTGCGAATCATCAGGAAACAACAGAGGAAATATCAGATAGGTAATAAGTAAATGCTGATAATGGCATCCTTGGGCAAGATACTGAACCCTGAGATGCTCCCGATGGCGAACAGTGTGAATGTGTGTGAGTGTGTGAGTGTGTGAGTGTGTGAGTGTGTATGAATGTTAGTTCCTAGAGCAAGGTGCACTGCTCTGTGTGAATGAGGTGTGAATGGATGTGAGTGTGTGAGTGTGTATGAATGTTAGTTCCTAGAGCAAGGTGCACTGCTCTGTGTGAATGAGGTGTGAATGAGGTGTGAATGAGGTGTGAATGGATGTGAGTGTGTATGAATGTTAGTTCCTAGAGCAAGGTGCACTGCTCTGTGTGAATGAGGTGTGAATGAGGTGTGAATGGATGTGAGTGTGTGAGTGTGTATGAATGTTAGTTCCTAGAGCAAGGTGCACTGCTCTGTGTGAATGAGGTGTGAATGAGGTGTGAATGGATGTATGTAAAGAGCTTTGAGCGGTCGTAAAGACCTGATAAAGCGCTATATAAATACAATCTATTTACCAATTGATAAAGCAAACAGATTAACAAGTGTTGTTATAATTTGGTTTAATATTTAGTTCGCAAGCGTGCAAAGAAACATTTGTTATGTTAATATGTCCACACCTGGAAAATGTAAACAGTAAATCAAACGCTATTAAAGAACATAAAAGAGGAAATACTGGGAGGAGAGCGAGGGGTAGACCTAGGACCAGGTGGAGGGATTATATCTCTTCGCTGGCCTGGGAGCGCCTTGGGACCCCCCAGTCAGAGCTGGTTGATGTGGCCAGGGAAAGGAACGTTTGGGGCTCTCTGCTGGAACTGCTACCTCCGCGACCCGACCACGGATAAGTGGGAGAAGATGGATGGATGGATGGAAAAGAGGAAATACTATACGCTCATTTTCAGGTTTCATATCTGCATTTTGTTCCTCTCCTGTGACGTGTTTCCATGCTTTAAGATCTGAGTACTTCTTCCACCTTTTGATTTGACTAAGGTCAGAAACTTGTCTTGGTTTATTAACATTATGCTGGTAATAGTAACCGGTTGAAAGATGAATCAAGTCTGATGGACTTAGATGGAGTTTTGTTGTAAACATGTTCACTATATTTAGACAAAATAAAACGATTTAAACTTATTTTCCGACATATATTTAATGACACAATAAAATGTTGTCGCTAATTATTAGCTACATATTTGACACATGCCACACCATTTACATTTTCATGAGAACAAAGATACACACTCTTCACATGTTGGCATCCATAACTTTTCTGCTGTTCGGTCAAAAAGGTAGAGAGAGAGATACTCAAAGATTTCTAGGGATGTTAACAAACATGGTCTGTTTTCAGAATACAGTATGAGTCATAATGTCATAACATACAGAAACCTTAAAGGTCAAAGGCTGTGACTAAATAGGAAATTAATGTATCCAATGCATCAAGTTAAGAACGTGTAAACAACAGAAAGTCAATCTATGCCTGAAATTACAAAGATTACCTGGAATGTTAACAAACATGGTCTGACGTATGGTTTCTTTCTAACACTCTGTTTTCAGAATATGAGTCATACTACGCAGAAACCTTGAAGGCTGTGGAAGTTACAGCGGAAGTTACAGCGGAAGCGGAAGTTACAGCGCCACTTACAGTCCCGGCATATGTACTACAGCGTTTCCAGCAGTCTCGTTTGAACAGACACGTTAAATGAAACGAATGCATGTGAACGGAATACTTTTTTGAATACGCATACTGTGCATAAACGCAAACGTTCCCGTGTGAAGGAGGCCTAAATAGGTAATGAATGTATCCATTGCATCAAGTTAAGAGCGTGTGTAAACCAAATTTACAGAAAGTCAATCTATGCCTGTGATTGAAATGACAAAGAACACAACCCTGTTTACTTTAGACAACTTCAAAAACAGAACCTCATACCATTATGTCTACATTATATCTCTCTTTCCCTTCAGAGGAGAGTCCTGTTATCTTGTTAAAGGATTGAATATGAAGCGGTTAGGTAAACACGGTCACAGTCTGTAGGTTTCTCTGAATAGGAAATGACTGGTTTGCAGTGCAGCATGACAAGACTGATTATATCAAAGACAAACAATGCATCTGTTTCAATAAGACTTATTGAAATGACAAAGAAAACACAACCTTGTTGAGTGTAGATCACTAGCTGGTTGCACATTTGCTCCTGTCAATCTACAGTTATCAGATTTACAACAATTAACCATCAAAACTGTGTGTGAAAATGTGTCTGCTCTTGCCAGCTGATCATGAACTCAATGCATTATCCTCAGTGATGATACATCTCTTACTCAATGTTTCAATGTGAGGCTGAAGAGTACAGTCCAATGATCAAACCTTGGGTCACACTTGAGTTCATGTAAGTGACGTCTGCTTTACAAACAGAACCTCATACTTCCATGTTGACAACTTCCTCTTTTTGACTTATTTGTGGGGTGTCTCTGTGAGTTACTACTTGTCCGCTGCGAGGGTCCAAGGACAGAAGGTTGCTGTTGTCACTGTAAAGCCCTCTGAGACTAATGTAAATATTGATCGATTGATTGTTTCTGACCTTTCAGGAGTTTGATCAGGATTCAGTGTGCAGCGAGGAGGGGAGAGGGGGCCGGAGCGTCCGCAGGTCTCTGTTTGTGGAGATCTACGGTCTGCAAAGGGAGCCGCACATCCACTTCTCAAACCAGGAGTACTACAAGAGGCTGGAGGAGCTGAAGAGCGCACACCTGAAGAACATGGCCGAGCTGGAGAGGATGTACATCGGCCAGCATAGGGAGAGTCCTGCAGAGGAGGAAGAGGATGGAGGAAGAACCAACAGAGAGGACAGACTGTCTATCAGGTTAGACCTTTTTGACTTTTTTAGTCACTTTGGCATTACACGGAAATGTAGCCATTGAGTTGATGTTATGTATAACTACAGAATAAAAAAAAAACTAACTTTTCAAACAAATATAGCCCATTTTAGACACATCCAGAAATATGTTTTCACCTGCTATTTACCAAGAATGATGCTTACTGTGCAGCTTTGTGTCCTGACTCAGAGAGGATTTGATATGGGTGGTAATTTCATTAGCAACATTTTATCTGAGTGCAGGAGGCAGTAAGTAAAATAAATTGATTGGATGGCTGATATATTCTACCGCGGGGTGAGGACGAATGTATCATGATTTATTGATACTCTCAGAAGCTTTCTTTAAAATCATAAAGCGAATGCACTGACAGTATAATTAGTATTAGATGTTAAAGTACACCCTGTAAATACACTTCTCCTTTTAACGGTGTTTGTATTGGCTTTTATCACACTTTTTTGGAGAAATAAAGAAAGCCAAACAATATGCACATGTCTTATTCTTACCTTAAGGTGGCACTATTGTGTCAGGAGTATCAACACTCTTTGGTGAACATACATGCAGTGCATCTAAACAGGCATCCATTTGATAATGTGTTTATTAGTCCTCCATTTTATGTAATGAGTGTGTTTTTAAGGTCAAAGGGGAACGACAGGCCTTTAAGGCGAGACCCATGCCCAGCTCGGTGTATGGAAGCAAACACAAGGCGAACATCAAGACCACAAGCCACCAGTTTACAGACATCTGCACACATCTGCACACGGAGGGCAGGTCTCTTCTGCACATAGTGGCCATTATACGTTTTTATTTATTTTGCATGTTGTAGCTGACAAAGTGGAATGACACAATGCACTGTTTCCCTAAAGATGGGAGCAATTATTATTGTCTTCTTCTTCTTCTTTCTGTGTATGTAAAATGTGTCAATGTAAAAATGTGTCATTAAAATTATGTACACTTTCCCCCTGATAAAAGAAGTCACGTGGGCTCTTTTGTTGGTTAGTTTTATGAACTGGTTCGCACTCAATCCTAACATGTAAACTGTTTAATTTATCATAAGTGTATGCTCCTCCTTGATCCTAAAACCCACCCATCCCTTTA